CATAAGGCTAATAGCTATTGTTTATTGTTCAGACATTGACCTTTTCCTTTAGCTAATAGTACAAAGAAAGGGATCTGGAAAACTGGAGCATAGAGTGAGGTAAATCATAAATAATTGTGAGCTCACCTTATTTAAGTCCATCCTTATATGTCCTACTTACTGTCTCTCTTTATAATTACCATACAGTGCACTCAGGAGTGTGGAGGAGGACGTAGACAAAGGAGCATCACTTGTGTTGACTCTAAGACTAATGAGGAATTAAGTTCTAGTAAATGTAATGCCTTAAAGCCTTCAGAGAATGAGCCATGCAACTTGCAAGACTGTGAGTATATGCATAAACTTAGCTTTACTCATTACATTGTTCATTGAACACTAGGTTGCTTTGATGTTGTATCTCTGTGCAGTACAGTCAAAAGCCTTTGCTCATACAACAAGATCAAGGACATGTGTTGCAAGACATGCAGTGCCTGAAATGTCCAAGTGTTTTGCTGTTGCTTTTTTCTATTTTGCTGCTAGATCTAAACTTTCATAATTCTTTTGTGAAACTTTATAGATCTATATATATGCTGTTAGTTTTGTTTTATTTTTGCCAGCTCATAAAATGACCTCAAACCATTGACATCTGTTTATATTATTTTTATAATATGATTGATAAACTGTCACAATTCAGACACCTGGTCTGTCTTGATCACCCACTCACTCTTTTTGTACATTATTTAAAACAATGAGCTATGAATATTTGAATTGGAGAGGATAACCTCAATATGAACAACTCCAGCTAAGCCACCCCCTAAGGGTGGCCTCCTGCCTACCCACACTCAATCATAGACAGAAACTATAAAAACGAAACACAGGTTTTATTCATTCAGTCAGTCAGCAGGTACTGAAGATGGTAAAGGTTGCAGCTATTGCCCTTTTTTGTCTCTCTCTCTTCCTTTTTGCTGGTAAATAAATCCTTGTAGATCTACAATTTTTAATTTACTCTTTTGTCTGCCTATTAGATGCTCAATCATGCACACAAAACCAAACTCGTCTTTTCAGTGGATCCTCCTCTAGTAATGGAGTCCTTCAGGTTTGCAACTCAAGCAGAGTATGGACTGATGTCTGTGATTACTACTGGAACAACAATGCTCATTCTGTTGTAGTTTGCAAGCAATTAGGATTCACTAGTCCAAGTAAGCCAATAAATTGCAGCAGGCACCATGAGTAAATGCTCTTTCTATAGCTCCTATAACTGTATTTAATGCTGGCCCTGCATCAACTGGAAAATTTACATATGTGAGCACATCGAGCTACTGCAGCATCAGCAGCAGTGTGATAACTAGCTGTCTGAGTACTTCTTCATGGCTGCTTCAGTATAGTTCATGCTGCTCTATCTCCAGAGACACTGTTTACATTGACTGTAATCCTGATACTGGTAAATGCTTATAATATTAATAATTATTATTACAAGTATTATTTCCAATATTATATATAGCCAATGCTTCTGTTGGTCAAGCCAGACTTTACAATGTCAGAAATAAACATGAATCAACTGAAGGGATGCTTCAAATAGGTGATGCAGGCAGAAATTGGACGGCAGTCTGTGATTACGGATGGAGTTGCAATCATGCAGTGACTGCATGCAAACAGCTAGGATACAGCAATCCAAGTATGTCATCATATTCATATTAATGACAGCACTTATGTTGAAACTTTTCTTAAGGCCCAAACTATAGAGTTAATGCAGGACCTTGGATAAAGTTTGGATATGGTCCATATTCTTACTGTTCATCTTCAGCCACAAACTTGAACTCTTGTTCTTCATACTCCTCCAGTTATAGGACAAACCCAAGTTATTGTGATACAAACAGAGATACTGTTTACTTAAAGTGCAATGGTATGACGACTTACTGCACATTTTAATCATGTTTTACTGTCTCTTCATATAGTCCAACTAACCTGTTCACCTAATTACTCAGTTCGTCTTGTTGGAGGCAAGGACTCATCTGAAGGAAGGGTTGAAGTGTGTTACAATGGAATCTGGCATGCTCTCTGTGGCACCTATATTGATCAATATTTTGCCAGTGTGGTTTGTAACCAGCTTGGTTTTACCATTAGCAACTGTATGTTCAATGCATTAATGCTTTACTAATTATTACAATTTGTATAGTTTCTACAACTATTGCTGATGGTCGCTATGGCTATGGCAATACTTCTAGTTACTTCCCTGGCAGTATCTATTGCTTCAGGTTGAGAAACAATATTAGTAGCTGCTACTATTATGGGAGCTTCTCCTCTAGCAAGTGTATGACTCAATGCAGCTCATACTATATTGGCATAAAGTGCATTTGTAAGCTTCACAATTCCAAATTAACAAATATTGATAATTCTATTACTTAGCTTCTGGTGATAATTGCAATGAAGGTGAGGTTCGTCTGGTCAATGGCACAGAGGAGAGAGAGGGACGTCTTGAAGTCTGTGCTAATGGAGTGTGGGGGACAGTCTGTTCCTACAGCTTTACTCGTGCTGCAGCTTATATAGCCTGCAAGCAGCTTGGCTACAATGACTCTAATGGTAAGTCATTCCCAATAAGTTTTTTCATGTCCACTTTTTAGATGCCATCATTGATACAAATGCATATGACAAGTTTGGTGGTGGAGACAAGCCCATTGTGTATAGTTATGTTGACTGCTTTGGATTAGAAACTCGTCTCTCACAGTGTGACAAGAGTGTTTTTCCTACATTCAGTTGTTACTATGGATCCATTGTTGGGCTGAAGTGCCTTGACAGTATGTTAATGTTATTACAATTTTTATGCAGGAACTAGGAAGTCATAAATTTAGCTACAGATAAATTCTTAATTTTTTGCATTGCCTAATACATGTCACTAGATCTATTTAGAAAGTTTCTAAAAACTATTTTATGAGCTTATGAGTATTTTTAGAACTCTCAAAATTTGTCATGAAATTAATTAATTTTGATGATCATTCTTCTCTAGTTTGCAATGAAGGCAAGATTAGACTTGTTGGAGGTAAGAATTCACTGGAAGGAACAGTCGAAATATGTATAGAGAAAAGATGGAAACTTATTTCTGAAAGTGGATGGGATGATACAGATGCTTCAGTCGTCTGCAGGCAGTTGAATCATACTGGTAGGACACATTCATTGATCATAATGTGTGAACCATGTTAGGTGGTGAGGCTGTTTTGAATTCACTGTTTGGTGAGCCAAAGAGAGCCATTGTGTACAGCAATGTCAACTGTCGTGGGACAGAGACAGAGCTAAGAAACTGTACACACAATCGTCTCTACCCTGAGAGAGTAGACGGTGATGTAGCTGGAGTCAGATGCTCACCAGGTACAAAAGATATGATATTCTTATTTTATATACATCTTGTACCGTATAGCACATATTTTTCCTGGATATAAAATTTTGCGAAATTGTTCCTTCTAAGCATTCACAGATAAAAAATTTCACAAATGATCATGTTTCAAATAATAACAACATAGTAGGTGTGGTGTGTTGCAGTATAAAGGTACTTTGATGAAAGATTCTCATCAGGATCAGGTAGAGGTGAAGTGATCTGACTAGTAGGAGCAGGATCAGTCTTCTTGAAATAGTTAAACAAGCTAGCAGTAGACATTTCTTTTTAATGCATGTGCTGCTCGTGTTCTAAACTGAAGGTGCGGCTTCTGGTCCACAAGGCACCACCTATTTTGATTAATAGTAAATTTTTGCGGATAAAAATTTTCGTGAATTTTGGCAATTCGCGAAATTTATAAAATTTATTATCCACAAAATATATGTGCTATAT